GTGAAAGTCAAAAAAAAATTACCTTAGTAAAGATTCAGTTTATTACATTTGGGCTGTTTATTGTACGCTAGGCCTTTATTAAAAACAGCATCACAAAATTTACTGGACTCCGAAAGTTTAAAATTAACTAAGTTGAAGCTAACCTCTTTTAAAGATTACTTTTACTTACGAGAATAACTAATAGACATGCTTCGCTTATTGTAATTATTGGTTAACTACCTGTAAGTTAATAAAGTGAGCTTGCTTCTTTAAGAAATATAATTAGCTATAGTTTTCAGTGATAACCTAGATCTTTGGAAAACTTTCTGGAACAGTTTTCCATTATTCTGACTCTTTAAAAATATTCAAGAGGTATTTTCTTTTTTTTTTTTTTTCCTTTTTTATTAGTGAAACGACATGAGGTACAGTTGTAGATTTACAAATTTTTGTGCTTGGATCTCGGTCATACCCCGATCAAATACCCATCCCTCCACCAGTGCCCATTTTCCACCACCAGGATAGTATCCCTCCCCCCCCATCCTCCCATCCCCCCATCCCCCCCTGCCACTGTGGCAGGGCATTCCCCCCTGTTCTCTCTCTCCTCCTGGGCGCTGTGATCAGCCAAAGAGGCATTGAGTGGCGAACATGTTCAGTCCAGTCTACTTTCAACCTGCATCTCCCCTCCTGGGAGGATCCTCCAAACACCCTCCACTTGGTGTTCCCCTTTCTATCTGAGTTGTCCTTTCCCCTCGAATACCCAGCTGGCCTCTAAGTTATGGAGTAATTCTCCTGGTGTTGCTCTCAGCTATTCTTGGGTATTAATCTCATATTTTATTATTTTATATCCCCCAGATGAATGCTATCTTTCTATGTCTATCCCTCTTCAAGAGGTATTTTCAAATGGCATTAATTTTGCGTGAAATGTGTCAGTATTTTGAAGAGCTGAATAATTCAGTATATTGGTATTTTCCTGTCCTTCGTTGTTAATTGATTTGCTCGAGTGGGCCCAGTAATGTCTCCATTTTGAGACTTGTTGTTACTATGTTTGGCACATTGAATACATCGCAGGTAGATTGCCAGGCTTTGCCACATGGGCGAGATACTCTCGTTATCTTGCCAGGCTCTCCGAGAGGGGCAGAGGAATCGAACCCGGCTCTGCTGGGTTGGCTATGCGCAAGGCAAACCCCCTACCACTGTGCTATCAGTCCCATGATGACTGGAGTGATAGCACAATGACTGGAGCGATAGCACAGTGGTAGGACTTTTGCCTTGCACGCGGCCAACTTGGCCGACCCAAGTTCGACTCCTCCGCCCCTCTCGGAGAGCCCGGCAAGCTACCGAGAGTATCTCGCCCGCACAGCAGAGCCTGGCAAGCTACCCGTGACGTATTCAATATGCCAAACACAGTAACAATAAAGTCTCCAATGGAGACGTTACTGGGCCCGCTCGAGGAAATCAATGAACAACGGGAGGACAGTGACAGTGACAATTGGTATTTTCCTAAAAATTAACATATAATATTAAGCATAACTAAAGGAGCAATTTTTAAGACAAAATACTGTATTTTGAAGTAACAGAACAAAATGTTCATTGATACTATTTCAGATACTTCAGTCCCAGTACTCTTTAATAAACAATTATCTGTCACATTTTAAGGTGTACTGAATATTGTCACAAATATCTGAAAAACATGTGAAAAACACAAATAGCAACACTCCGTTTGTGAACACATTGTTTTGTCTCTTCTCTTTTTGATCTTCTTCATCTTTATAAATTCTTCACTTTAGATTGATCTTCTTGTCTTTATTTTTTTGTTAATTCTTTCTCATCCTTCTTGTTTCAGCTCAAAAACAATTCCTCCAGTTTTTCTTGTAGCATGCTCTAAGGAAAACTTTTATCTCTTTCTACGTATATATTTATTGCTAAAAATGTTTTATTTGTGTTTTTCTCAAGTAGATAACCATAAAACCAGTAAGCAAGTGCATTTTGACTTACCATATTTATCCTTCCTAACATGCCCTTATCATATACTAGGGTGGGAAATAAAGTATCTGTTGATGAGCAAAAGAATAAATATATGAATTGATAGAGGACAGACGGATGGTGAACAACTAATAGTTGAAAATTTTAATTTTAACCTATAAAATTATACCTCAAATTGAATAGTTTATTTAGTGATATTAAGATTAAAAAAACTAATAAAAATGTTGGGTTTATTTAAATCATTGTTATTTTCCTTGTGCAGTTTTATTACTATACATGATTGCTGGCTATATCTATTATAAAGAAAATAGAAAGAATATTCAATGACATTTTATTGCATCAGCAAATGTTCTTGAACAAGCCTGGTAATGTGTAATTGTTAGCAACATCATCTTGTATTTCCCATGACCCATTGTTTCCTATGAATTGTGTTAGGATATATATGTATATCTAAGTATGCCTTTCAGTGGTCTCACATTCTACTATTTTGTCCTGAATATCTATAATTCAGGGGCTGGAGTGGGTATTGAGTATAGTGGGTAGGGCACTTTCCTTGAATGCAGTCCACTCTTATTTGATCCCTAGTACCACATATGGTCCCCCGAACCTGCCAGGAGTGATTCCAGAATACAAAGCCAGGAGTAATCTCCGAGTACCACCAGGTGTGGCCCAAAAGAAACAAACAAACAAACAAACAAACAAACAGAAATATAAGATAAATTGAATAAACTTATCTACTTTATGTCTCCATTGATTTCCTGTTACTAAAATATAATATACTTTGTTTAGTCTCCCCAAGATACTTTTTACTCCTAAGGGTTTGGCCTGTGTATTAATTATTTGGGTATCTGCAGGGCATTTAATCACTTAATCACTTAATCCCCGTTATTCATCGATTTATTCGAGCGGGTGCCAGTAACGTCTCCATTCATCCCGGTTGCGTGCTAGCGTAGCCCAATGGTATCTGTTCGTTTTAGGAACATGTAGAGCCTCAAACCGATCATTTAGGGTCTTGACGAAGAAGTCTGACCATCTTATAGGTGGGCGTCCACGTGATCTTTTGATGTCTCGTGGAATCCAATCAGTAATGGCTCTAGTCCAGCGGTTGTCTGTAAACCTCATTACATGTCCAGCCCATCTGATTTTTGATGTCTTGGCAAATGAGACAGCGTCTCTGATTCTTGAGCGTTGACGAAGATCAGAACTCCGGATTCTATCTCTCATTTGAGTGAATCGTGATATTCCAAGCATAGTTCTTTCGATTCCTCTTTGAGAGACCCGAATAGTGTTCTCATCCTGTTTTCGTAGGGTCCAGGTCTCTGAGGCATATGTTAATGCAGGAAGAATAGTGGAATCAAAGAGATGTGCTCGTAGCTGGAGGTTCTTTGTCCTTTTAGTTATTTCTTCAATGCTCTTGAAGGCATTCCAAGCCGCTCTCTTCCTCCTGCGTAACTCAGGTGCCAGGTCATTCATCATGTTGATTTCTCGACCTAAGTATATATAACTGTTGCATTCGGAGATGGTGGTTCCGTTGAGAGCGAATGGAGCGTCAGGAACAAGGCTGTTTCTCATAAACATTGTCTTCGTAAGATTCAGCTGTAGTCCGACCTTTCCACACTCACGGTCAAAGTCCGCAAGCATTTGTGCCGCTTGGCTGATGTTTGGTGTTATTAGAACGATGTCATCAGCAAAGCGGAGGTGGTGTAGTTGCCGACCATCTATCTTCACTCCCATGTTTTCCCATTCTAGTCGTCGCATGATGTTCTCGAGGGTGGCACTGAAGAGTTTTGGTGAAATGGTATCACCCTGCCGAACCCCTCTCTTGATATGGATGATTACTTCTTTGTAGAATGGTGAGATCTTGGTAGTGAATCCGCAATAGAGCTCACGAAGGATCCTGATGTATTGAGTTTGTACGCCCTGATTGGCTAGGGCTTCCATGACCGCTTCCGTCTCAACAGAATCAAAGGCCTTCTTTAAATCAATGAACGTTAGACAGAGCGGCATCTTGAACTCCCGAGATACCTCAATGAGCTTGGTTATTGTGTGGATATGGTCGATGGTACTGAATCCTTTTCGGAATCCAGCTTGTTCACATGGTTGTCCTTCATCTAGTGTTCTGCTAATCCTATTCAGGATGACTCGAGTGAATAGTTTGTAGATGACAGACAATAGGCAGATTGGGCGATAGTTGCCAATGTCGTGGATGTCTCCTTTCTTGTATAGTAGTACAGTCTTGCTGGTTTTCCATTGGGATGGAACCTTGCATTCAGACAGGTAGCGTGTGAAGAGTCGAGCTAATGTATTGATGAGTACTGATGGTAAGTTCTTCAGGTGTTCAGGTCTGATCTTGTCTGGGCCAGGTGCTTTTTGTTTCTTTACCGACGAGATGGCATGTTGGATTTCGGAAGGGAGAACATTGGGAACGACATATCCATCATGTGGTATGTGGTATGTGGGCAAGTGGATGTGGCTATTAAAGAGATCTGAGTAGAAGTCATGAATAATCTTCTCCATTGCCCTTCTGGAAGATGTGATAGATCCATCATGATGTCGGAGGGCAGTCATCTTGGTTTTGTAGTTGGTGAAGGACAGTCGGGCATTACGAATGTTTTTCCCAGCTTCTGCTGCATCTACCAGTACTGCTGCTCTCCTGTTTTTGAGGTCATCCTTGATGGCTTTTCTGCACTGTTTTGCCAGTTCGGACGTTTGCTTGTGGTTGCCTGAGGCACGTGCCACGCCACGTTGGCGAATAAGTTCAAATAAGCGCGACTATTTATTTAATAATTTTCAGGATACCTTAAATATCCTTAAATATCCAACCCACACGGCAGAGCCTGGCAAGCTATCCGTGATCTATGCCAAATAGACCAAATTGATATGCCAAATCCAGTAATAAATGGATCTCATTCCCCTAACCCTGATTATGCAGGGCATTTAGCACTCAATAAACAATCAGGAAATAAATGTATTATGAATAACTGAATTAAATATTTCATAAATCGCATTTTATTTATTCCTTTATTTAATTTTTCCAGTTAAAACTCAGGTAATGGGAGAAATCAAGATTGCACTAAAGAAGGAAATGAAGACAGATGGTGAACAACTAATAGTTGAAATTCTCCAATGCAGAAATATTACCTACAAGTTTAAATCCCCTGATCACTTACCAGGTATTCAATTTTATGATAATGAAATATAAATCTACAATCTGTAGGAGTATGTACTAGGTGTTCTGGAAAATGTTAGATAATAGTAATAGTGCAGGAGAAATAGCAATATGAGGAAGGCATGGCTGACCTATGTTTGATCTCCCCCTGCCCTCCCCACACACAAATTATGGTCCCATAGTCCAACAAGCAGTGATTGCTAAGTGCATAGCCAGGAGCAAACTTTGAGCACCGCTGTGTGACCCAGGAACAAAAATACTAGCTAAATTTGGGGATAACTACTAAGTAAATGTGCAAATGTGAAATTTTTTATTAACATTTGTCTTATTTTTTCAGCATATAAACTTAGATTGACATATACCTTAAACACTAGGAAACCATTTAAAATCCTAAGAAAATTTTTGTATATTTACTTTAGGACACTTTTTTTTTTTTGTAGCCTACTGGTTTTGTAGATGATGCAGAATTTTGTACCGTACAACTGTAGTTTTTTCAATTAAAGAGCTGTGAAATATAAGATAAATTGAATAAATTATTACTTGATTAATGGGAATTTAACAAGCTGAGTTCTTATTTTCAGACTTATATGTGAAAATATATGTGATGAATATCTCTACCCAAAAGAAGGTGATCAAGAAGAAAACAAGAGTATGTAGACATGATCGAGAGCCTTCGTTCAATGAAACTTTCAGATTTAGTCTAAGTCCTGCAGGGCATTCACTTCAGGTAACTTTACATGACAGCTACTGTTTCAAAGTTTTCATTTAGATAATATTTGATCTTCTTTCAATTACTCAGTATTTGGGTACTCTTTTTAAATGGTCATTTTTAAAGTAAATTCATAGAGAAACAATTTCAGAGGCCATTTCTAATCCCACCACCCATGCACCCTGCATGATTAACTACCAAGTTTCTCTATTTTATTTATGCTCAGTTTATTTTATGGCAATTTATTTCCGTGATCACTGCCAATAATGTTCTTTGGGGTTTTAATCTTTGTTACTAAAGTCATTTTAACCTACTTACCATTGATACTTTACCCTTTCTGATTATTTCATTCACACTGCTGACAGAGATATCTTTTAAAAACTCTGACTAGGTTATGTAAGAGTCCTTTTAAAAGTCACCATTAGCCTGACTTATTCAGAGTCCTCTGAACTGAATTCTAATTTTATGAATTTAATCTCCTCTCCTTTTACACTTTCCATTCATTCTCTACTTGAGTTGCACCAGAATTTTTTCAAATCAGGTTAAACTCTAATCCTTTGTTTATAGTTTTCATCTCCTCTAATGCTCTCTCCTCCATCTTTCCTCAGCACAGTAATCCAAATATTTCTATATATAAGCATAGTCTCCTACTGATGACCTGGTTGTAATTCATCATATTTTAAACAGAGAACATTTTTTTTTGTATCTTGTTAGGTCATCTGTCTTGTACAATAATCTATCTACTTTATTTACTTGATCAGCTACTATAAGTTCTGATTTTCAGTGTCCTTTGTTCTGTAGCCTTTAACAGTGCTTGTGCACAGTGAGAAGACCACATCACAGCCACATAAAATCCTGAGTTTAAAAAGAGAGAACTATGAAAAAAGATGGTGAATATTTTTAAAGTGATAAATTTGATCATAAGACAAAGGATATAAGTAAACAATACAGTAACAAATGAAATCCCCAAAATAGAGACAAAAAACATGGTTATGATTAGAAATTAGATTTTGAAGTCAGAAATAGAAATTAATAGTTTTAGCCAAATTTAAATGTGTTTTCTGAAAGAGATTCTGAAGAGGGGCTGGAGTGATAGCACAGCAGGTAGGGCGTTTGCCTTGCATGCGGCTGACCCGGATTCGATTCCCACCATCCCATTATTGTCCCCTGAGCACCGTCAGGAGTAATTTCTGAGTGCAGAGCCAGGAGTAACCCCTGAGCACTGCCAGGTATGACCCATAAAGAAAAAAAAAAGAAAGATTCTGAAGAGAGGCAGAAATAGAAAGAGACAGAATTGTTAAAGATCAATGTTTAGATCCATTTAATGCTTTCTACCTTATTTTCATTAATTTAAAAAAAAATTTATTCAGAGAGCCTACAAAATTTCAGCTGTCACACATTCTACATTTGACAAGAAATCATTTTGGGAGTAAATTATAGTAAAATCACAGGAAGTTAAATGCCGTATAAATTGAACTTGAGCTCCACCTGTTCTGGCAGCTCTTGTTTCTATACTAAGCATTCAAGCAATTTTGCATTTTAATTAATATTTTTATGAACTAGTGAAAAAATTACCTGGCATAGTTCTTTTGTTGTTGTTGTTGTTGTTGTTGTTTTGCTTTGGGGGGGGAAGGTCACACCTGGCAATGCACAGGGGTTACTCCTGACTCTGCACTCAGGAGTTACTCCTGGCGGTGCTCAGGGGACCATATGGGATGCTGGGAATTGAACCCGGGTCAGCCGCGTGCAAGGCAAACGCCCTACCTGCTGTGCTATCACTCCAGCCCCTGGCATAGTTCTTTTTGAAACTTTCCACACAACTACTTTAAATTAGCTGGTGATATACTCCCTAGAACTATAATATGCTTCAGGATATATCTTTTTTCTTTAGGAAATATTAGGAGATAATGTTATGCAAATTTTTTCAGTATATCTTGGTTTTTGTTTTTTGTCATAAGTATGGCTGCTATTTTCTCTGAAACTTCCCATTTTTTTTCTATGTTTCTTTGATAATCAAAAAATTTTGAACAGTATGCACATGTATATGTATAATTTTACCTATTTTTTTTTATAGATCTTACTTTTCTCCAATGGAGGGAAGTTTATGAAAAAGACTTTGATTGGTGAAGCCTGTATCTGGCTTGACAAAGTGGATCTCAGAAAAAGAATTGTCAACTGGCACAAACTTTTGGTCAGTCCTACTCAAACCCACTGAAAAAACTATGTCTGCTCAATATATAGAAACTGCTCTAATCTCAAACCAAGACTGTAGTTTGTTTTTTAAACACAAGAGGAAGAAGAAAAGTAAAGAAAATCGTGCAAAAGCCTTGTAATTTAGTGTTGTTGAACACACACACACACACACAAACCTACAATGAAAACATTCAAATGTTAAAGTCAAGGGGGAGAAAGTAGCTCAGTACCTTGGATCTCTTGTTATTTTCAAGAAGAAACAGTAAGAATAGTTTAATAATTTAATGCACAATTTTTTACTAGAGTTGAACAAAAGATAAAGACAGAGGCCCCCAAATTAATATGATTTCCACAAAAAGTATTCCTTAAATACAAAAGAACTTTGGTTGAAACTATTGATGTAACAAGTTTCAGTTTTCAGATATTCCCTTATTCACCTAATCTTCTCAGAAAGTTTGCAGTTTTAAGATTATCAAGATAAGACACAGCCACAATATATGTCCAAGACTAAAAATAAGTAACATTACTCACGGAAAAGAAGCAGAGAATATGGAAATTATGCCTTTTAGAATGTATTATATAGGATTCCTCTGTGTTTAAATCTTACAGATGTGAACAGCAATTTTAGAATCCATGTATAAAAGCACAGCCGTATCCTTTGAAATAATGTAGATAATACTAAGTCAAAATGGAATTATGTTTATTTAAAAATAAAGCCATAACTGGCTAACAAAAATATGTTGCCCCACAGACTATTGGAGACATGGTTGAAAACATCAAAATCTCTGTAACTTGCCTTTAAGACAACTTTAATTTCTGTACAGAAAGACCTAGATTACATTTGTATGTTCTAGGAAGCATGATAGTTTGTTCTTTGTGGAACTACAAATAAATTTGCTATCCTGAATATTTATTTTCTCTTTGTTGATATTCTAGCAGAGGGAAAGTTCTTCCTCTGGCAGATAAGTCTTCCTAATCTCGTGACACTGATGAAATTTTTAAATGTTTATTTTCTTCCATATTTTTTTCCTTAACACATTATCTGATGCTGTAGTGAAACCATGATGCAAATCTAAAGTTCTCTCTAGTGCTCTGTTTTCTTCCTTTAGTGACACTCTCAATGATTAAATGCACCAATGTTTCAAAAATGTGAAAGGCAAACATTATCTCAAGGTTAAAATATACTTTGCACTACTTAATACTATAAAATAAGTGTTTTATATAAGACAAAAGGGTGAATGTCTAAGTCTTTAAAATGAAGTATCCTCTTCTCCGTTAATGATAACAAAAATAACAAAAAAAAGTTACCTGAAGTTGTAGGAAACACTCAAGTAGGATTAAAAAGCCTAATTTCTTGTCTGGCTTTTGTCCCTGACTGTGTTACTTGTATATGTCAATTAAATTCGATTTTCCTTAGTTGTCTTATTTCCGGGATAAAATAATTTTATATTTCTAGCCTTGCTAATGGAAATTTGGGATGATATATTAAATGCTCTATGAAAGAAAATGAAAGCACATTTATAATATGGTTTATGCACATAACTGAGGAGTGATTATAATATAGCTATTTATTTCTCAAATTTTATATATAAAAAAGCATCTACCAAGTAAATGGTAAACACTGATATGAATAAAAGCAACATATTTGCTCCAAAATAATATATTTCTTTAAGTTATAAACTTTGACACAATTAGTGCAAAGTGTGAGGTTAAATGGAGGTGATTTTCTAATTGGATTATTATAAATTTGTTAAACAAAGTAATTGATCTTCAGTATTCTCATATCCCTGCCAAAATAAATTTTCTCAGACCATTCTCTGTTTAAAAGATGCTTTTTATTCAAGAACAGGGTTGTAGTTGGATTAGAGAAATTATTTCCAAATGCTTTGGTTGGATATTGAATTTTCTTTTTTAAGAAAAGTGTAATTTAATTTGATAGAAAATTATTAAATGCAAAAATTTTAAAAGAAAACAATTTCTAACAAACCCCATAGTACTTCTCTTAGTATATTTATAAAGAAATATAAATTTATCTTAAGTCAAGAAAATACAAGTCACTTCTTTTCCCTCTGTCGCTTAACCCCTTCTCCCTTAGTCAGTACTGCAATGTCCTTTAGCATTGCAATTGCTCTAAATGAGCAAGGGAGAGGGGATTGCTAAAGATTTAAGAATGCTAAGATTTTATTTTTAGAGACAACTGAATCTGCTGATGGTTGCCATGGATATTTCCAGCAGAAGTTAGCACCTTAGGAAGTTTATAACCATCACTTGTGACTAGGGAAGAAACGTGACAGGGAAGATCTTTTCATAAAGACTGTTATCTGCCCTTCAAAGGGAACTCTGGCTCACCTTAAGCCCTCTTCCGCAGCCACTCACATCCGGAGGTATGCAAGAGAGGTTTTAAGACCAGGTTGCTGAATTCATTCCATTTGGAGATGCCACAAGAATAAAGATCATACCTGGGTAGTTACTTGAACAGAGAGGAGACTTTCCTTTTTGAGTGACCTTCTGTTCTGAGAAACATGAAGGGGCCAGTAGATTAAGAGAGCTAATGATAGGGCTTCTTTTTGTGCACCAGCATCCCCCTCCAGAGAGTATAAGATCCTGCCAAAGTGTGCCAAGCTTGTGGCTAACCAAACTCCTGCGTTGTACTGGATTTATTCTATGCAACACTGATCCTTATAGGAATGCATTTCTTCTTGATTGATATTGATTATCCTTCTTACAATTTCTTTTTTAAATGCAAATGGGGCTCAGTGTTTTTTACTTTTTTGTATATATCACAGCACATGATTTCCACTTTTTATTTTATTTACTTTGGGGGATTGGCTTTTTATTATCCTACTAGCAACAACATTTGTAATCTCTGAATATTGTGCAATTAATCCAATTACAGCTCTTATACCTTGAGTTTTCCCCACAAATTCATTGAGTCATCAGATATTGAAAATGCGTCATGGTTTAAAATCTGGTCCTAAAGAAACTTTCAGCGGTAGAAGCAAAAGCACAGAGTAAGTTTTTACAAAAGATAGGAATTATATAATGGTCATTGCAGACATATGTAACACTTGAAGCAAGAAATTGATTTTGTCCCTGCATTTACTTAAGATGTTTGGTGACTCAGCTTTGTTTAATATGTCAATGTAAAAGAACAATAATGTAAGACTATGGGGCAGTTGCTGCCTTTGTCCCATAATGTTGCTCATCTTATAATTAATCATACTAATTACATGCATACTTTCAGCATAGAAATGAATTAATTTTGTGAATCATGCACATTAAATTTAAAGATATATTGTGGGAATATTATAGCTGGTAACCAGCTGATAATGATTCTTATTATAGGAACAGTTGTGATGATTGTTGTGATAGTGGTAGCAACACTAGGTTGGTGGTGATGTGAAATAAAATTAAACTAAACACTATATTGTGCCCAATTTATTAGAAATTATTTGATCGATGTTTCATTTCATTAAGATATCATAAAGATGTTTATAGTATTTTTTTACTTTATTTAAATCATAACAATATTTTTAAAAACTTATTTTCATTGCTATAATGTCTAATATTCAAAAGCAGCCAATTACAATTATATATGTGTTTTTATTAACTGTACATGTGACAGAAGAGATTTTCCCTCTTTTTTGAGCTTGAGATGGAAATGAATGAGCTCAATAAATAAATATGAAATGTCTCTTCAATAATTACTTGCCTTTGATGTAATGCTAGAAAGAATGAGTGTAGAAGATATTTTCATTAATCATTGCTGTTTTCTGTCTGTTTCATGTTATTGCTATTATTAAAGATTCCCATTTAATCAAATGACTCCCTATCTGATAGGTAGATGATTGAGAGCATTTTTCTATATATAACAATACATTTCATAAAATAGACAAAGTTGAAATATTAATTTTGTTTGGCATTTAGCATGTGAATATGATTATTGTTTGATTGTGTGTACATTTGTTTAGTGATGTGAACAGGTGCTCCCACTACTGATAAATGTGTGTGCTGATATTCTAACAAAATCATATCTGAGGCAAAAAGGGAAAACAAACTTGTCTTATATAAAAAAACTAATAAAATTCATTAAAAAAAGTACTTGGATATATGTCTTGTTTCTAAGTATGTGTTGCATGCAGTGTTGTGATTTGCTAATGTGTACTTTTTTCTGTTCTACCCAAATCTCTCTGGAAAATATAATAAATAAATACAAATTCTTGGGCTAAGGGTTACATAAATTAAACTGAAGTATACGAGGACTGTTCAAAAAAATGCTTGTAAATCTGTCTTGAGTTTAACTCTGTAAAAATGTCTCAGTTTTGTGATTGTATACAAGATGTATCTTGGTAACTTATTCAAATTGTGCTGTATGAAGGTTGTTGTCTCAGCCTTACTAATAAATACTAAAAATATCAACTTTGACTTTTTTTGTGACTTGACAAATTTATATGTAATATGTCAGTAGAGTTTTTTGGGACATTCTTTTTCTGAAAATTTATTGTAATATATGTTCATTTGCCAAATTAAGATAATCTATTTGGGGCTGGAGAGACAGTACAGTGAGTAAGGTTCAATTTTTAGCACCCCCTTTAAGTCCCAGAGCACAACTCCTGAATACAGAGACAGGAATAAAACCAGAGCAGAGAGAGATGTGGCCCCAAAACAAAGTATCTTAGGGACTAGTGAGAGAGTATAGTCACTTACCTTGCATGCAACCAACCCCATTTTGATCCCTGACACTGTGGTCCCCAGAGCACTGCCAGGAGTGACCCCTGAGCACAGAGCCAGGCGTAAGCCACACTACAGATTTCACTACAGATTTTCTATTCATTTCATTTTTCGGAATTGGCTTATAGATTACAAGTCCCTTTTGTATATATTTTTATTATTTTGCTCTTTTAAAAATAATTTTGTTTCTCATGTAAAGCCCTGGTATTAGTCAATGATTTATGGTCAGCATTATTTGAAACATTTGCTATGGCAGAAAGAAATATTTGTGTTTTAAATAAAACTGATATAGGAAAAAATAATATTGATAAGCAAAGCCCAAAAGTGGAAAAGTTACATGATACAGAGAACAAAAAAGGACTAGCAAAAAATAACATAAAAATATATGAAAAGCAAAAATCAGAGGAAAACAAAATGCAATTTATAGGAAAATATAGAAAAAGCAATTGATTTAGAAAGTTATGTGAAAAATCCAGTTAGTGAACATACATACAGGTGCATGGCCTTTTCAGGATAGCTACAGTATAAACTGCAATGAAATATATCGTGAAGATATGCTAGTAAAAAAGTTGGTCTGAGGGCTGGAGCGAAAGCACAGCAGGTAGGGTGTTTGCTTTGCACGCAGCCGATACGGGTTCAATTCCCAGAATCCCATATGGTCTCCGAGCACCTCCAGGAGTAATTCCTGAGTGCATGAGCCAGGAGTAACATCTGTGCATCGCCGGGTGTGACCCAAAAAGAAAAAAAATGTTGGTCTGAGTAAGTCAAATCATGAAAATCAAATTCTAAGGTAAGTATAAGCTTGGTAACTATGAATTGATATTGCCACTTCTTTTAAGTTTGAAATGACCTTATGTGATTAAAGATTTCTGTAACTCACAATTCAATATTTTCTTTCATCTATATAGATACAACAGAAGAACACTTGAATAATTATAACAAGGCTAATTTTCATGTACACAAAATGGTTGCCTAGTTAGTACTCACTGGTACAGTATACCAAAGAAATCCCTTTCTAGTGAGGTTTCCATTCCAATGAGTTTGATAACAGTTATGATTGGAATGAGATCTTACTACATAGGTAAATATTCTGCCATTCTTGCAAGCATATTTATACCAATTCATTATAGATCCCAACTTTAAATAGTTTCCAAATTTATTAATAATAAAAAGGGTGTTTTGGAATTGGAATAAAGCAAGAGAATCATGTAAAATTGTAAAAAGGAAAAATAGAGTTATACATATCAATATGAGTGAATTTCACAAATACACGGAGGACCAACCAGCATGCCATATTGTGATTCTAATAACTACAAAAATTATGAAGTGGTCATCTTATAAGAAAACACAGTTTTGTTCCTGGATTAAAAGCAAACAAACAAAAACAGATGTCACCCAGAAGACCATAGAAAGAATAAGAAACATGAGATTAACTATAAACTATATTTAAATATATCTGCTAGCTATATATTTATATAAATAAACTATATTTAAATATATCTGCTAACTATATATTTATATAAATAAACTATATTTAAATATATCTGCTAAGGTGTGTATATAATACCAATTGAGCAATTATTATTCCATGCTCTATATGGTACATCGCACTAATATGTAGTAAATTCATTTTAAATATACAGTTGAAAATGCTGACTGGGAGCTGTGCCTTAATACCTAGCATGGAAAGAAGTGTGGTTTCTTTCTGATTTCTTTTTCCTTTGGGGCCACATCTGGCAATGCTCAGAGGGTTCTTCTGGCTCTACAGTCCAGAATCATTCTTGGCAGTGCTTGGTGAACCACATAAGATGCAGCAGATCAAACCCTTGTCTGTTACATGCAAGGTAAGTGCACTATGCTGCACTATTGCTTTGGCCCAAGTCCATGGTTTCTACTGAATGGTATCTCCTTCAAACGGTGCTGAAAATTCCCAAGTCAAGCAGGTAAGAAATTATCCGGCATTTTCATTTTTGCAGTGCAGTGCAGTGCTACTTTTAAAGGGAGATACAAGTAAAGGTTAACCATACTTTTGCATGTAGAGAAGAAAAGAATGAAATTTGTGCTTGGCAGGAAAAGATTAATTAACTTGTATAAATAAAACTTTAATTGTTTCAGGGAAGTGACTGGAGTGGAAACCAGGTGTGTGTGTGTGTGTGTGTGTGTGTGTGTGTGTGTGTGTGTATGCTGCTGCTGTTTGAAGGGAGTCTCCCCAGTAATGTAAACTGAAGAGTAAACTCTTCAGAGTAATGCGAATCAACTCAGTGTTATGGTCCTACGATATGATACCGCTTGAGCCACACAGTATGGGCACCATCAGGAACACAGCATAGGTGCTGGGGGAAGAGCTTGGGGTGTCAGAGATGAGCCCCACCCCTCATACAGGCAAGGCCAGTTCTTTAGCACTTAGAATTATCTCCTTGGTGCAGAAATCTGTTTTTATACATAAACTCAGTAAGTAATTAATTCTTTCAGACCTGTGTGTTGTATTAAGGTAAATCTGGAAACTCCAAGGACAGAATGAAAACTGCAGTCCCCAGGTGAAATTTGTTTTTATTTATAAACTGAGCAAAGAAGAGTTTAAAGTCATTCAGCTAGTGATTACAGGTCCAAGTGGAGTATTAAGTATATTCTACTTAAGTCAGCTGATTAAGAATATTAGTCATCTATTAAAAATGCTTACTGTGATACTTCTAGAAGTACTTAATTGAACAATTGGATAATTCAGACTACCAAGGTTGACACAGAAAGCTGAGCATTATTTTGAAGGAGATATATTTTTATCAATGACAAATCTAAAGTTTTTTGGTTTGGAATAGTTATTAAGTAGGTTTGGTTAGGTCTGATAAGATGA